CCCAAAGAACGGCGCATGCCAGAAATTTCAGCGGCAATCAGATGAAACACTGTTTTGCTAGACCAGCATCAAAATTTTGATGCCGCTCGAGTCTCTAGGTATTGCTTTCTTACCAAAACGTGGTTTCTTTTTAATTGTTTCCCTACGTCGATAATTGATACAATACAACCTTCAATTATTTTGAAACCTTCCAAGCACAATCGGCAAGTAGCTTCGAGTACTGGAAGATGTCCAAAATTGTTCCACGGAACAGCTACTGCGACAACCTTAGTCATATGTGTTCGCCTCAAGGCGTGAAATTCAATATTTTGCCTAAAATATACAATACATGCGAAAAAAAACTTCCGCTTGCCGTCTTAAGCCGAAAACACAAAGGTAATAACTGATACGGCTGCAGCAAGAGCATGTCCAAACATGACACCAGGTGAAAAGACACTGTCGAACTGTCCGAACCAAGTCCAATACAATATGCACAGAGACACACCAAAGCAATTCAGAAGCCTCATCATGTCAACCGCTGTGCTCGGCAGGTGCGCTATCTGGCAAGGCACTTCTGGCTCGGCAGGTGCGCTATCTATCTATCTATCTATCTATGTATCTATCTATCTATCTATCTATGTATCTATCTATCTATCTATCTGTCAAACCTGCCAGGCCGACGTGAACATGCAGCCTGCAGGTCAAAATTCCCAGCTCAAACATGGCAGGGAGACGAATGGCGTAAGCCATGTATAGCAAACATGCCAAGCCGACGCCAAAAAAGGCCACCTGAAGGCCAAAAAAGGCCACCTGAAGGCCAAAAATGCCAGCAAAAACATGACAGGGAGACGTAAGCTATCTATCTAACAATCTATTTATCTATCTACCTATATCTATCTATCTATCTATCTATCGATCTATCTATCTATCTATCTATCTATGTATCTATCTATCTATCTATCCATCTATCTATCTATCTATCTATCTGTCAAACCTGCCAGGCCGACGTGAACATGCAGCCTGCAGGTCAAAAATGCCAGGTCAAACATGGCAGGGAGACGAATGGCGTAAGCCATGGATATCAAACATGCCAAGCCAACGCTGTCAAACCTGCCAGGCCGACGTGAACATGCAGCCTGCAGGTCAAAAATGCCAGCTCAAACATGGCAGGGAGACGAATGGCGTAAGCCATGTATATCAAACATGCCAAGCCGACGCCAAAAAAGGCCACCTGAAGGCCAAAAAAGGCCACCTCAAGGCCAAAAATGCCAGCAAAAACATGACAGGGAGACGTAAGCTATCTATCTAACAATCTATTTATCTATCTACCTATATCTATCTATCTATCTACCTACCTATCTATCTATCTATCTATGTATCTATCTATCTATCTATCTATCTATCTGTCAAACCTGCCAGGCCGACGTGAACATGCAGCCTGCAGGTCAAAAATGCCAGGTCAAACATGGCAGGGAGACGAATGGCGTAAGCCATGGATATCAAACATGCCAAGCCGACGCTGTCAAAGCGGCCAGGCCGACGTGAACATGCAGCCTGCAGGTCAAAAATGCCAGCTCAAACATGGCAGGGAGACGCATGGCGTAAGCCATGGATATCAAACATGCCAAGCCGACGCCAAAAAAGGCCACCTGAAGGCCAAAAAAGGCAACCTGAAGGCCAAAAATGCCAGCAAAGACATGACAGGGAGACGTAAGCTACCTATGTAACGATCTATTTATCTATCTACCTATCTAAGTATCTATCTATGCATCCATCCATGCATCCATCCATCTATGTCTCTATCTCTCCATCCATCCATCTATCTATGTCTCTCTCCCTATCTCTCTCTCTCTCTCCCTCTCTCTCTCTCTCTCTCCCTATCTCTCTATCTATCTATCTATCTATCGATCGATCGATCTATCTGTCTATCTATCCATGCATCCATCCATCAATCAATCCATCTATCTATTTCTCTCTCTCTCTCTCTGTCTCTCTATCTATCTATCAGACCTGTCTATCTATCTATCTATCTATCTGTCTATCTGTCCTTACATCAGGATATCTATCTATCTACCAATCAATCAATCTATCTATTCATCGATCGATCTCTCTGGCTATCTATCCATCTATCTATCGATCTATCTAGCAATCTATCTGTTCAATCTATCCATCAACAATCCATCCATCCTGCATGAGTGAGTGAGTGAGTGAGTAAGTGAGTGAGTGAGTTAGTGAGTGAGTGAGTGTGTGAGTGAGTGAGTGAGTGAGTGAGTAAGTAAGTACATGTTCCACGCCTGCCAGGGCGTATATCTGACCCCTTGGCAGTGCACATTGTCTTACGCCTGCCACGCAAAAGCGGCGGAGGCCCATGCCTGCCACGCAAAAGAGCCGGAGCCCCAAGGGACGTTGGGGCGTACATCAGACCCCTTGGCAATGCACATTGTCCCACGCCTGCCACGCAAAAGAGGCGGAGCCCCAAGGGACGCCAGGGCGTACATCAGACCCCTTGGCAGTGCACATTGCCCCGCGCCTGCCACGCAAAAGAGGCGGAGCCCCAAGGGACGCCAGGGCGTACATCCAACCCCTTGGCAGTGCAGATTGTCCCACGCCTGCCACGCAAAAGCGGCGGAGCCCCAAGGGACGCCAGGGCGTACATCCAACCCCTTGGCAGTGCACCTTGTCCCACGCCTGCCACGCAAAAGCGGCGGAGCCCCAAGGGACGCCAGGGCGTACATCAAACCCCTTGGCAGTGCACATTGTCCCACGCCTGCCACGCAAAAGCGGCGGAGCCCCAAGGAGCCAG